TGGCCATCTTCTGATGAACCGAAAGAGGGTATTGCAGCGATGGCACGACTATTTCGAGAAGATCTCGACAAAGGAATTCACCCATCCGATTATCCCCTCTGCGGCAACCAATATGCGACCCCCTTCGGAAGATTTTCGTTAAGGAGACAGAAGCGGCTCTGAAGAAGATGAAGGCAGGTAAAGCTACAGGCCCCGACGACTTAGCAGCGGACTTATGGAAGTCACAGCACTGGTACTCCGCAGAATGGTTGACAAAGCTTTTCAACCAGATCATCGCAGAGAAGAAGGTGCCCAAGGACTGGTTGCAAAGCACGACGATTCCGATTTGGAAGAAGAAGGGCAGTCCGGCAGATTGCTCGAACTACCGTCCATTCGCCTTCTCTCGCACACTATGAAAATCTTTGAGCGAATTGTTGATGGCCGTATTCGTGACATCGTCCAGCTCTCTGCCAACCAGTGTGGCTTCGTAACTGGCTGTAGCACCATCGACGCCATTCACGCTGCTCGCCTTTTGCTTGAGAAACATCGTGAGAAGCAAAAGCCTGTGTATGTAGCCTTTCTAGATCTGGAAAAGGCCTTTGATCGCGTGACGTTATATGGCCTTGCGACAACACGGCATCTAGGGCTAATCGAGTGGGTCCGCATCCTTTATTCAAAGCCAGAGAGCCAAGTGCGGACTCTTGCAGGCACCTCGATGGAGTTTCCCATCACCGTTGGGGTACACCAAGGCTCCGCTCTCTCCCCACTCCTTTTTGTTGTCGTCATGGATGCCATCACACGAGACCTTCAGAAGGAAGTTCCTTGGACGCTCCTTTATGCTGATGATGTGATGCTTGCATGCGAAGACAAGACACGCTAGAGCAACAAGTGCAAGCTTGGGCTGATCGCCTGGCAAAGTTTGGGCTCAGGTTAAACGTGAATAAGACCGAGTACCTGACAACCGACCCAGCCGAGACGGGCTCCATCAAAATCGATGGCACTGAGCTCACGCGTACAAAAACATTCAAGTATCTGGGATCAGCAATTACGTCCGATGGAGATCTCAAAGCGGAGGTGAGCGCACGGGTGAGTGCAGCGTGGGCAAAATGGCGATGCATGTCGGGGATCCTCTGCGACAGGAAGATGTCCAGAACGGCTAAAGTCGAAGATCTACAGAAGTGTCGTTCGACCAGTCGCCCTATATGGCGCCGAGTGCTGGCCCGCTACCAAAGAAGTCGAAGCCCGTCTAAGTGTGTGATGGAGACGAGAATGTTGCGTTGGACTGCGGGTGTCACGCGTTTGGACCGCATTTGTAACGAGGTAATACGCAAGAAGTTCGGCATAGCTCCTATAGCTGACAAAATGCGAGAAACGCGCCTTCGATGGTACGGCCATGTACTTCGCGCAAAGGCTGACACCGTCTGTAGGACTGGACAGAAGAAGAAGAATGAGTGTTCTCCTCGGCTCATTACCTTCTAATCCTTAATGTTAGCAACAGCCATGAAGCGGGATCTTAGAACCCCATTCACATGGCGGAACGTACGTCACCTAATCCTTCAAAAGATAGGTAACTACTTTAGCCACGTCAGCCAAGGCGCGCGTCATATGTTGCCGAAGAGCGAGGATATGAGATAATCTCCATGCGCAAGCTCCGCCCACCTCAAAAACACCCGCCCCCCACAGGTTTCCCCATCATATAATT